TCTCCACCCTTCCGCTGGCTCCTCTCAAGGCAGAATCTTAGCTTCAACCTACAAGAATGCCATCACTCTTTAGTCACGTCCAGTCTCATCTCTAACCGCCCTCCCTCACACTGCCACATTGAAATGCCACCTGTGCTATCAGCCACCACTATAGTTTTAAACTATGGAATTTAAAATGTATAACTTTCGCTTACATTCCTGTTGAAAGTAAACAGTGCATTGTTCCTGTGAATGAAAAAGCAGTATCCCCTGGAATACACCAAAGAAGCAATCCAAATAAATATAGTGGAAGCCTAAAAGTATGCTCACCTTTTAGCTAGATACTGCATCCACGTAAGGCCTGCATGGGGGATTCTCTGTATTAAAAGGGGAGTTGAACTGGGCTCAGTGGCTCACCCTGTAATCCCAGCGCTTTGGGAGGCCAAGGTGAGTGGATTGCCTGAGCCCACGGGTTCAAGACCTGCCTGGGCAATTTGGCGAGACCTCATCTCTACAATAAATCAAAAATTAGCTGGGCGTAGTAGCACATGCCTGTAGTTCCAGCTACTTGGAAGGCTGGGTCGGAAGGATTGCTGGAGCCCAGCAGGTCGAGGCTGCAGTGGCTGGGAGCGGCCACTGCACTCCAGTCTGGGTGACAGAGTGAGACTCCAACTCAAAAAATAAAAAAAATAAAAGGGGAGTTGAGAAAGGATCAGAGAGACCTCAAAGATACAGTAGCATCCAACTGAGACCCTCTGCTTGTTTCGATCGTTCAGAAAAAGGGAGATGCAATAAATGAATGTCTACTTGGTGAGTCACACTTAAGCAGTGTCACATCTACACACCACCTAGACTCCTCTTTTTAAAAAATGTTTTAAGTAGAGACAAGTTCTCGCTATGTTGTCCAGACTGGTCTGGAACTCCTGGGCTCAAGTAATCTTCTTGCCTCGCCCTCCCAAAGTGCTGGAATGACAGGCATGAGCCACCACACCCAGCCTAGACTCATTTTTAATAGAAACAAATGCATGAATAGAAGTTAAAGAAGTAGATCCAGTGATTGAAGGTGATATGTCCTTTCTTTCTAGAAGCTTGCACAGAGTCAGTGGAGGGTCACCTCGGTTGAGTTGGGTTGGAGTGGTTTTTGGTTTTCTATTTGGTTTTTTTTTTTTTTTCACTTTTATATGCTAAGAGGAAAGATTCCTTGGAAAAGAAAAGGTGAAAAGAAAAGGGAAGCAAGGTCCTGAATCTGGTGGAGGAGAATGGGGTCAGGACACAGGCCTCTGCTTCAGACAAATGCACAGACCTGCACGTGAGGACAGATATTTCTCGAGACAGAGAGGACTGAAATGACACCGGTGTCAATGTAGGCACTCCTGACTGCATGGAGAATGAGAATTAAAGGGTTTTGACTGATAGTCTTTATTTTCTGTATAAAATAGAATATCAGGTATCCTCTACGAGTGAAGAGGATAAAATATTGGGCTTGGGAAGACTGGAAAGGCTTGGAATAGCCACTGAAGAGACAGGGCCTGGTAGACCAGGCCACTAGAAGGAAGAGGCGCTGTAGCCAGAACCTGCCACGACACCAGTCTCCAGGTGTGGTTATTCACCTGCAGCATGTGGCCCCTGGGAGGAAAGCAAACAAGGTAACAACAGCTGGGACCCAGGGCTGGGGCCTAACAGGGCTGATGCAGTTGGACCCAGGGAAAGAACGGATTAGAGTTTCCCTAAGGCACTGCTATGATTACTCCTTCTCTGCTCACACAAGGCAAACCCACAAAGCACGTCTTTGCATGTGGTCACATGTACACATCATCCCCTTCCTTAGTATAGATTCAGGAAAGGAGTGTCAAGAGAATAGCCCAGCTTGAAGCAAAAAGCTATTATAAAAGTACCATAATAAGCTCACGTAAAACCAAGCCATCCTGAAAGGAAAAAAGGAGTTACAACATGTAATTAATCTAGAAAAAGCTACAGAAAAAAAAATGCTAAGAGGAGGTAACTATGACACTTAAATAAAGGTTTAAAATGAGGTTTGCTCAAAACTGAAGTTTAAAGGTTAATTACCAGTGCCTTACACATAGTACAGTAGTTTTATTAATGGAACAAAATTCACCATGGTTTGGTATATCAGCCCAATAAGGTGAGTGTGTCAGCTATGACTATACATTAGTGAAGCTTTCCACAAAGCAGCTCCTTAATAGACCTTAGTCTCCAGACAGAGAAAGCATGCTGCCTTTCTGTCTAAGCACAAAAAATAAGCATATATTGCCTCCACTAAAAGAGTGCCAAGTTTATTTGTTGTTTATGTTTTTTTAAAAGGAAAAAAAACAGCATTTTTTAAAAAGCAACAACAATCCAAGTCTCCCCTCCCATCAGAATAAAAGGAAAGAAAAGCTCCAGGTCCTAGTGCTAATTCATGTTCTTGAATCGCTTGCAGCCATAAGACAGATCTGACTAGAAATCCAGGTTGTGAGTACCCAGTTTTCTATGCAAAACTGAAGAGCCCCAGAGATTAGGGTCCAAAGTTGGAAACCTGAGGCCCTGCTTCACCTTGGCTACTCACTTGTTTTTTAGATGACTCTGGAGCTTTCTAAAAACTCTTTATAAAATAACAATTGTGATCCAGATTTAAGGTGGTATTTATTACTTGCCAACTGTTATAGGTTGAATTGTTCCCCCACCCCAGAATAAAGATATGTTGGAGCCTTAACCCTCCGTACTTCAGCATGTGAGTTTATTTGGAAATAGCGACATTGCAGATGTCATTAGTTCAGATGAGGTCATACTGGATTAGGGTGGGCTGTTAATCCAGAATGACTGGTGTCTTTGTCTTTTTAAGAAGAGGAGACATGGCATTTTGGGAGGCTGAGGTGAGAAGATTGCCTGAGCCCACGGGTTCGAGACCAGCCTGGGCAACTTGGCGAGACCTCATCTCTGCAATAAACA